AAAAAAAAAAAAAAAAAAAAAAAAAAACCCAACAATATGTTCAAAACAAGGTCAAAGAACCTGAGTAGACATTATTCCAAAATAGACATATAGATATCCAATAGACACATGGAAAGATGCTCAACATCATTAATCATCAGAAAATGCAAATCAAAGCTACCATAAGATATCACCTTACAACTTTCAGAATAGCAAAAATAAAAAATGTCAAGCTATAGCAAGTGTTGGTAAGGATGTGGAGAAAAAGGAAACTTAGTGTACTATTCATGGGAATGAAAATTGGTACAGCCACTCTGGAAATCAGCATGAACTTTCCTTAAAAAATTAAAAATAGAAATACCATATGGTCTAATATTTCTACTCTTGAGTACTTAACCAAGAAAACAAAAATACTAGTTTGAAATGATATATGAAATGGATAAGGAAGATATATATCTATATATCTATATCTATATCTATATCTATATCTATATCTATATCTATATCTATATATCTGTATCTGTATCTATCTATATCTATCTATATTTATACCTATAGATATAGATATATAAAATGGAATATTATTCAGCCATAAAAGGATCAGATCTTGCCTTTTGTAACAACATGTATAGAACTAGAGGGCATTATGCAAAGTGAAATAAGTCAGACCAAGAAAGAAAAATACTATAGAATTTCATTCATACGAAGCCTAAAAAAAAAAAAATACACAAACATAATGCAGAATCAGGCCTGTATATAGAGAACAAACTGATGGTTGACAGAAGGAAGTATTGTGACAGTATGGACAAAATGGTAAAGGGGAGTGGGAGATACAGTCTTCTAATTATGGAAAAAGTAAGTACAGGAATAAAAGGCACAGCATAGGGAATATAGTCAATTATACTCTAATAGTGTTGCATGGTGACTAATGGTAGCTACACTTGTGATAAATGTAGCATAACATATAGAGAAGTTGAATCAGTACATTATACACCTGAAATTAATGTAACATTGTGTGTCAACTATACTCAAATAAAAGCACTGGGTGTTATATGTAAGTGATTCATCACTAAATTCTACTCCTGAAACTAATATTACACTATATGTTAACTAACTAGAATTTAAATAAAAAACTTAAAACATAAAAAAAGAAAAAACAATTCTATTTACAGTAACATAAAAAATATAGTATACTTAGCAGTAACATAAAAAATATAGTATGCTTAGAAATAAATTTAACAAAAAAGAAGGCTAAGACTTATGCAGTGAAATTATCAAATACTATTTTAAGAAATTAAAGAGGATCTAAATGGAAAAGGACTCCATGCTCATGGATAAAAAGACTTAATACTGTTAGCATGGCAATAATACCCAAAGTTTTCTACATATTTAATTAATCTCTTAACAAGCTTATCCTAAAACACATATGGAAAAGCAAAGGACCAAAAATAGCCAAATCAGTCCTGAAAAGAAGTTTAAAAACTCATACCCCTGGTTTCAAACTAAAAAGCTATAGTAATTAAAGCAGTGTGGTACTTGCATAAACAGACAAATAGATCAGTACTTATATAAATACAAGTAGATCAATGGAATAAAACTGAGAGGTTATAAATTTAGCCTTACATTTATGATCTTTTGATTACTGACAAAAATGCCAAGTTAATTTATTGGGGCGGGGGAGGAACAATAGTATATTCCACAAAAGATATTGGAACAACTGTATAGCCCCATGCACAAGAATGAACTTGGAACCCTACTTAACACCATATAAAAAATTAACTCAAAATAGTTCATAGATCTAAATGTAATAGGTAAAAGTATAAAACTCTTCGAAGAAAGCTTGGGTATAAACCTTAATGACTTTGGGTTAGGCAATGGTTTCTTAATATAATACCCAAAGTACAAGTAAGAAAAGAAAAAAATAGATAAATTGGACTTCCTCAAAATTAAAAACTTGTGTTTCAAATGATACTATCAAGACAGTAAAAAGACAACCCATAGAATGGAAGAAAATATTTACAAATCATATCTCTGATAAGGGAATTGTATCCAGAATATATAAATATTTCTTGCAATCCAACAGTAAAAAAAGCAAATAGATCCAGTTTAAAAATGGAGAAAAAATTTGTACAGTCATTTCTCCAAAGAAGATATACAAATGGCCAATAAGCACATGAAAAAATACTAAACATTAATTATTAGAGAAATACAAATGAAAACCACAATAAGATGCCACCTCCCATCCTTAGCATGGCTATAATCCAAGAGACAAACAGTAACAAGTTCTGAGGAGGATGGAGAGAAATTGGAACACTCAATACACTGCTGGTGGGAATGTAAAATCGTACAGCTGCTTTGGAAAACAGTTTAGCCATTACTCAAAAAGTTAAATGTAGAGTTACCATGTGCCCCAGCAATGCCACTCCTAGGTATATACTCAAAAGAAATGAACACATGTGTCCACACAAATCTGCACACAGATATTCACAATAGCATTATTCTTAATAGTCAAAAATTGAAAACAACCCAAATGTCCATCAATTTATGAATGGATAAATGTTGTATATCCATATAATGCAATATTATTTAGTAACAACAAGCAACGAAGTATTGACACATGCTAAAACATGGATGAATCTTGAAAACATTATGCAAGGTGAAAGAATCCAGTCACAAAAGACCACATTTTATATTATTCCATTTATATGAAATATCCAAAATAGACTTTTGCTGAAACTGTTCTTAAAGAGTCACTTTCTATTTGATTTTGCTAAATTTCTGGGATGTAAGCTGTGGTCAAATTGCTATTATGAGAGGAGATGCCTAAGAATGATGTCTACATAGGAAAAGGCAGAGCCAAGAGATAAAGAAAGACATATTTCTGAAGACATGTTTTGAGCATACAAATCCATCTGGACACCAAGCAATTCCAATTAAATGAATTAACTAATTTCCATGTTAAGTTGAATTTTTGGCATGTGCAACTAAAAGAATATTGACTAATATGGTTGGTTAAACAACAAATTTTGTTTTTCACTTACGTTGTATTTGATATATTATAAATACAGGAAAGGTGCTACAGAATTTTATTTACTATAATTGCTATGCCCTTGTGCAAATATCCGTTCTTCAGTAGATTCACTGCCCTGCAGAAAAGAAACTCTGTCTAGGGGTGTGCATGTATATATATATATATATATATATATATATATATAT